TCCGCAATGCCAGTGCCATAATCATACTTACAAGGAAACGAAACTCAGTCAAGTACTGCCAGTGCCAGCACATCCACAATCATGGAGGAAGCAGCTCCAGCTCTTCATTCAAGTGGATCCACAGATGCCGAGTGTCATGCATGCATCGGAAAGAAGCGCAAAGCCGAACAGACCTGTATGGAGTGTGCAGCTTCATATTGTGAGCATCATCTTGTCGTGCATAACAGTTTGCACGTGGGAAAGAGGCACAAGCTTGTGGAGCCGAATGCAGTGTTACAGGAGAACATCTGCCCTGATCATGGCAAAATGCTGTTTGTGTACTGCCGCACAGACCAGCTGTGCATCTGTCACCTGTGCATTACTGATAAACACAGAGGTCATGATGTCATCCCAGTGGAAGAGGAAGTGGCCAATAAACAGGTCAGAAATGTGATTTGAAATGCAAAATGATTTGAAATGGCCAGATACCAGCCTATTACCAGTGGTTAGCACACATCCTCTGGCTCATGTCATTTTTTTCTGTACTATCAGTGCCAATAAAAGTGTTCAAAGACTTAAAAACACTTGAATTTGTACTACTGAGTTGAACTGCAACTGAACTGAATGTTTCTTTTTAAGATTAAGTTGGGGGAGTTGGAGAAGCGGACCGCTGACATAATTGAAGCTAAGGAGAAAGATGTGCAAGAGCTTAGACAAGCTGTGGAGATTTTCAAGGTTAAAGGGCATTTATCTTTGCTTTGAAACTGTAACTGTCTTTATTTTTAATGGTATGGTATTGCTTGCATAGCTAAAGTTAAGACATCCACTATGCTCCCTCTTCATTATTAGGCTTCAGCAAATAAGGCACTGGAGAAGAATGAGAAGAATTTCACCGAGCTGATCCAGTCTATGAAGGACAATCAAAGCAAAGTGACAGAGCTGATCCAAGGACAGACAAAGTCTGCAGTGAGGGAAGCTGAGGGATTCATAAAGACTCTACAGCAGGAGATCAGTAATATGAGGCCCTTAGATGCTGATCTACAACACCTGGAGCTGCTCTCTCATACAAATAATGATGTTCGATTTCTAGAGGTACAGTGATTGAAAATGGCTGTGAAACCGAAATGGATGCCTGTTGAATTGTCTTGTAAAATATTCAGGTAAATGTTCAAGTCACATTCAAGGTGTTTTTCTCTCTCTCTTTCTACAGAGCGCTGTGTCTCTGCCTTTGCTGACTGAGTATAAAAAACCCTTTGTCTTCCTTGTACATCCGTACAATTCTTTTGAGCGTGATTCCATGGCAGTTAGTGAACTAATAGAAAAGCTAAACACGACCAGCAAGCTGAGTTTATTCACAATTTCCAGAAAAGGTTAGTAGAAGTTTTAATTTAAATATATTTCATGATTATATTATGGGTGCTTCTCAGTCAAAAGGCTGCATCCTAGTAAGGCTGCATAACTCAGCTGCCACATCATCAAGTGCTGACAACGGATGTCTCAATTTGAAGGATCCTTTGAAATCATCCTTCGTTTTGCATCCTTAATTCAAGGATCCACCCCGATCAACCACAATCCTTTGCACACATACCAATTCACAAAAAAGAATTGGTGAGAGTTGGCACTAAACTTTTTCAGTATGTAATGGCAATGGCTACAGGTTGTTTCGCTTTAACAGGAATTTAGATAGTAGCCTATAAAGATTTTTGTGCTGTCATTTTCATGACGTGCTTACTAGACTGTCTCATTCTAGTGTTTAATGCTTAGAAGGACTCTTCAGCCTTCTGATTAAGAAGCATCCTATGTATACAAATCACCTTAACTATTTTTCTTTGCAGTGAGAAACACTAGAATTGTAAGATCACCACCACCGCAGACACGAGAGGAGTTTCTACAGTGTAAGTTTCCAATATAGAACTGAACACACAGAAGAAAATCTTTTATTTTCTGATATGGCAAGTACCCCCTTATTGATTGTGCTAATATTTAATCTTTTCATCTGTCTACCTCAGATGCATCAAAACTCACTTTTAATACCAACTCAGCACATGAATGTCTCATCTTGAGGAATGAGAACAGGGAGGTGATGGCCACACACCTGCTTCAGGACTATCCTGAACACACTCAGAGGCTTAACTGCAGGGCACAAATCCTGTGCAATGAAGGTTTCAGAGGGTCCCCTAAATATTGGGAAGTAGAGATTGGCGGGGGCACTTGGGTCTGCATTGCTGTGTCCTACCAAGGGATCCGTAGAAAAGGCAAGCAGCGTACACTTTTTGGAAGAAATGCCCAATCATGGGGACTACGCTGTGAGCGTGTCCATGTAGAATTTTGGCATGACAATAAGACAACATTTTCTAAGTTTCAATCACATGGCTCCAAAATAGGAGTGTATTTGGACTACAGGGCTGGAATCTTGGCATTTTACAATGTTTCTGACAACATGAGTCTCATTTATAAGCACCAAACTGTTTTTAAAGAGCCTGTTTATCCTGGGTTCGGATTGGCTGGGAAAGGTTCCTACGTGAGACTTTGTGATCCAGTGAAAAATTAGACCAAAATGTCCCTTTCTTCTCTATTTAAGTTTGGTAGTTTGTAAGTTGTATTGTTTACACATGCAGCTGTCATGAATTGCATGTTATCCTTAAACAGATATGTAAACGTTCATCAGGGTTTGGAGGAAGGATGTGGTTTTTGCATGTAGACACTTGGTGGCAGCACTATATAAGTTTTAAATTGAGCCTTTTTATATCAGCATCTGTAATTATGAACAGCTAAAGTTTAGCCAAGAATAACCCAAGGAAGCATATCAAAGCGGTGCCTTTTTTAACTGAAAAAATAAAAAATAAAATCCATGTTTTGTATTGTATGAATCATTGCATGATCATTGAATATTTTGGATTTTATATACTATTTTATACAAACCATTGCAACATGCATAATCCATATTTTTAACATTTCCTGAATATTTATTAAATTATTGCACATCTCCTTATGCTAATTCTGCTAAAAATCTGCTGATCTGAATGGAAATATGTCGTTCTATCTAATCCTTTAGCCACATCCACATAATACGCCTATTCCGTTCCTGTTCCTACTATGTATATTTTGTTTAGCATTAGTCCATCTCTTCTGTCATACTCCCTTCAGGCTGCACTCTTCCACTATCCCAACAGTTAGACTTACATGGTCTTTTTTCTCCCTCAAACCACACAAATGCACATACTCACACACACGCACATCATCTCATTGAGTAGATATATACCCAGGCCCAGAGGGTTAGTACAAGGGACAACTCCAAAGCCAGTCGCCTCCTGCCCTTCCCCCTGCTACCCACCCTTCCAAACACAAAATCAGCCTAGGGGTAAGTGTAGGGCAGACACGGTTTCAACAGAGCAAGCAGTGCCAGAGCAACAGGGAAACGCAGGAAATGTGTGTAGAGGGAAGGATAGGCACTAATAGCGATCATCATAGAGAGAGAAAGTGTGCCATGGTCCTCAGGGAGCCCATTTACAGTTCTGTCCAATCACAGACATCATTTGCTGCCTGTATTATCCTTTTATGAGTGACGGGGATTTTAAAATACTCTATTATGAAAGAAACCATTTCTCTCACTGCCAAGGACACTGCCACTATTCTCTATAAATACCCGTTTTTAAACACTGAATCACCGTATAGACTCAAAATGCTAGTCACAAACACCTCCTAGCAATTACCCATCAGGCAGATGCTGAGGTCTGTCACTCTTACTGCTAACAAGGTGCGTGACTGTCTTGATGCTGTTGGAGTAAGTTGTATAATACACAGTTTTCTTTCTCACATTGATATATTTCCTGTTGAATTGAGAGGTTTGGGTGGGACATATTAGACTTTTTTTTTTTTATTAGCCATAAAGCCTTTAGTTGCTAGTCAGTTGCAAGTGGTCTTGGGGGAGGGACTTACTCATTCTAGGGAGCATTTGATTGGACAATAATTTGTCTAGTGCAGGGTGAGTCATCAGTATTTTTGGTCTGTTTTCCCAGGAGAGAAAGACTGTAAATTTTAAATGTGTTCGGTGTATCTGCTAAAAGTGAATTTCATCAATATTTAAGAGCACACTAGCATATTTATTAGCCTCTAAGCCTATTCCCTTGTAAAAAAAAAAAAAAAAAAAAAAGTAGATTTGAGCATGCTTTTAAAAGAATATGCTTAAGTGTGAACTGAAAGTAATGCTTTAAATGTATTATTTAAATATATTTGTAATTAAACATTTGTATTGAAGAAGTTGCAATTTAGTACATTTAAAATGTATTATCTTTAAATGTAATATGAATTAAAATTATAATCAAGTACTTCACATGCTTGATAATAGTTAGTCAACCTTTAAAGCATGACAAAATATTAAAACATTATTTAAAATTTACTTTAAAGTAAATTTTTTTTTTTATTTGACATTATTACAACGTGCACTTAAAAAAGTACGTAAGTGTGTTAAAAACATTCCTGAAAGTGTACTTTCTTTAGGTACACTTAAGTAGCCTTTTATTTCATTAATATTATCTAAAAAAACACTAGTTTTTTTTAATATACTTTTAAAATGTAAAGTAGGCCTACACTACAAGTGCACATTCAATACAATTAAACGCACTTCGTTTTCACAAGGGTCTATCTATCTATCTATCTATCTATCTATCTATCTATCTATGTCATACACTTAAATATAATTACGGTATTTAACTGTAAATTTAAGTTACAACCGTAAAACCTAAAACGTTGCTACCGTATTTTTTACGGTACAATTCCGGCAACCACAGCTGCCGGTTTTCTACCGTAAATTTTACGGAATTTTTTTTACAGTGTATGAGTCAAAAAGATGAAAGAGTGGAAACATGACTTGAGTCATGTTCTCATCCAGGCACAGACCTTGCATTTGCATCATTAATTCATCGCTTTACATAGATATATGCACACTTGTGTGTGAACTCCTCTCTCATGCCCTCCTCCTCCTCCCCTCGCTGGCTCTCTTCAGTATGATATGTTTATAGGCATTGGCTGAGAGAGAGCGAGCATTATAGCTGCTCCTGCTTGATAAGGAAAGGAAGAGGAGAGGGCGCTGGACGTCATGGCATCCAAAGACACCGTCGCGACTGCTTTTCTCACCGTGAGTCGGGAAATGACAGGTGATTAAATCCAATAGCTCTTTTTTCCTCTTCCTATCCGACATTCGACACGCGCACCATGGGATTTGTTAAGCGCGTCCCCGCTCGCGGCCGGTGCTTTGTGTTTTAGTGGTTTAAAATCCTCACAGCGCTGAATGTTTGATAAGGTGACAGATTTGTGGAGATGTAAGGATTTCACATACAGACTGGATGTGCTTAACGGTAGAAAAAAATCATTTTGCGTGTGAGCATGTGTGCTTATGGTCGCCTTAATAACGGTCACTTCGTGTCCATCTTCAAAAGACTAAATTTGTGCAAATCGATCAGTTGGTTTCATGAACGTGTTTGTGTCTGTTGCGTTTACCTGCAGTGTGTAGGTAGTTGTGTGTGTGTGTGTGTTTGTGTTTGTGTTTGTTTGTGCGTGTGCGTGCGCGCATGATGCTGTTCTCCCTTTGATGTGTCTCGGATATGAGTTACTTTCAGTTCTTTACACATTTGCGTATCCCTGCTGACGCAAGTTCACGGAGAGGCTGATGCACTTCAGTCACATTCATTATGTGTGTCTAGGGCTAACTGAACACATACTCATCATCAGTGGCGTAACTTAGTAATGACGGGCCCCAGTGCAGGCTATTACAACGGGCCCCCTGGGGTGCACGGTTATGAAGCACATACAAACACACAGCGCTCGTGTTTAGAAGGGAACCATATATGCAAATTTGTGCCTAACCTACTTAATTTAGACCAACTAAAATCAGTATCTTATCAGTTTCTTATATTAAATTGAACATCGAAACTCAAATTGAAACTCTTTGCGTGCGTCTCTGCCTGGCCGCAGCAGCCAGAAGTAGGCTACCAAATTAATCGTGTTGAATTTTACAGTCATCAGCATGTGTTACCTATTGTATTTGCAAAGCACATTTTTCTCCTCTTTTGGAAAGTCGTGGAAATGACATATAACAAATAAAACAAAACTATTCATTCTGTTATATTTTTATTTAGGGGTGGGACGTGTGTCCCCACGACCCCCCGCCACTTTTTGCAGCATCTCGCGGCACGCACGGATGTACCTAAAGAAACATCTCCATTTGATAATAGATTCGTTGGTCTGTGTTAAATAACAGGCGATCTATCGCTGGAATATGTTATGGCGAGCGCTCCTTGCTGCTGTTATCAGTTCTCTTGCACTCGTGCACAATGCGCAGTCTTCACACAGACGATCGTACGCTTTGTTCTGGTAAAAACACAAAACAAAATGCACACAAACATGTCCTTGCTCTTGATATACAATCACTGATGAACACCTTTGGTTTTAATGAGAGAAGAAAAAAAACTACACGAGGGTGGATTAGAACCCAGAACCTCGGAAATGCTTGACAAAAGTTGTACCACTTGACTACTAAAGCTCAGACACGTTATTTTGCGCGAATTTATATATTTATTCAGTTCTGTGAAGAATCTCGGTACTAATTGTATTTTATTATTAATACGTTCATTATTCATTTATATTACTATAGTCGCTTGCAATGTGGGCAGGCTTGCAATGTGGGCAGCGGGCCCCCCCGGGCCCCAGTGCGGCTGCACTGCCTGCACTGTCTGTAGTTACGCCACTGCTCATCATAGAGGCCGTCATCTTTGAGCACGGTGATGCGCCCTCACACAATGACACACTAAACACACACTGGCAGTTTGACATTTGGAGCGCTCTCACTGTTAATTACCTTCACACATTATTATCTTCCTTTGGTAATTAATCCCTATTACTAACCCAGTATTTACTGTCCTGCTCCCCGGCGCTCACGCTCTCTATTTCAATTTCCATTTAGTGCACTAGGGGGAAAAGCAATGCTAGAAATGATAACTTGTTAACTGGTTAACTTAACCTTAACATATATAAGTTTTTTTGTAAAGTGCCAATACATATACTGTTATGATAATATCAGGAGTTGTCACTTTAATTTAAAGGGTACAGGACCAAATTTTTGGGACCAGTTGGCTATACCAGGGGACGGTAATAGGCCCCCATTGCTTTGGGCCCGGGACTATGTTTCCGTTTGTCTTTCCCTGATGATGGCTCTGGATAAAATATTTTAAATAGTATAGTATAGTTTAGTATAGTTTTTATAAGTATAATCAACTTGGGGAAAGTGGCATTCCCATAATTATTTGCTTGCATAATTAAATCTTTACATTTTTGAATTGATTAAAAAAAATCTCATTTTTATTAATTATGTACATTACATTGGAGTGTTTAAGTTATTTATTTTGTATGTTATTTATGTTTGTGTGGGTGACACTGTTCATTCTATTACTGGCCACTAGAAAGGTGAATTTTGATTAATTGTGAGTCATCATGTGGCCTTCCATTGTACCATCTGTATCATTATCAGTACTTTTGCTGTAATCTTTTCTAATAGCTCATATAGGTTGGCATTTTAATATTATTTTTCCGTTTGGAAAAGCTGGAAGGTCAACAAAAATGGTGACCAGTCACAACACCTTAAATATACACTTTCTTATACATACTTAAGGGTAAATTCAGAACAGTTAGGCCACTTTAGACAACAGTCATGTCAATACCAATATGCCTGAATTCATGCTAATTAATTTTTAACCTAAAATCTTGATGTGTTAAAAAGGTAAAATTAAAATAGAGTAAACAAGTAGCATTAACAAATAAGACAATAAAATGGGATAATGTACAGTCAGTTGGTCGTCATTGCGAAATAAACCCACAACAAAGTGATGTGGACCTCAATGCAAAGCTTTTTTAATGGCTGCCTGCTAAATAAATATATAAATGGATGTGGATTATTGATTTGAGCTGAAATTATTGGATTATGTGAGAAGAAAGAGACTATAGAGTGATGTGAGAAACATGAAACTGGTGTAGTGTAGGACAAATATAGGCTACATTTAAGTTATTACATGATAAATATTTGACCGGTCAGAATGTAGCATTTCAGAATGACGTAATCAGCTAAAATAAAAAGTCCAGTGTAAAATGAGAAATTAGCAATGAGCACATTTAACAAAAATAAAACATTAAAATGGTAACATTATTTAAAGATGAAAAATAAGACTAGATATGACAATAATAGTTATCAAAGATTAAGAAATGGGGGAATAGTGGGCATGACTGATCACCTATACCACAATATGAAGGACAGTGATTGAAGACGTTCTGTGCTGCTAGAAAATAGCAGCCTTTAGATTCCCCTAATAAAAAGGGGAGCGAAGTCACAAATGTGTGGTCTCTCTCTCTCTCTCTCTCTCTCTCTCTCTCTCTCTCTCTCTCTCCATCTCTCTTTCTCTCAGTCTCCACTTCTTTCATCTGATCTAAATCTCACTCCATCACTTATTACATTTGTTTTTCTTTTTTCATCTTCTCTTTCACTCTTCTTTGTGCACATTTACATATCCCTACCCCATTTACCCATTTATTTATCCTCCCGTGACTCGCTGTAATGGAAACATGTGCTCTAGTTTGGCCATTTGCTGTTCTTAGTGTCAGTCAGAAAGCCTTGGATCTCGTGATTGGGTCTTACACAGATTAATGTCTCGTGATTGGGTCTTACACAGATTAATGTTGATTGCGACTGCATTAACTGTTTGTCTCACTCTGATCCTTCTCTCCCTCTTTCCTCTTTTATTCCTTCCTCTGCTCGCTTGCCTTTCTCTTCCTTCTTTCCTCTTGGTAAAAGTGTAAAATGCATATTCCAGGAATTAGATCACAAGTGTCATAACATATATATAGAAGCTAGATAAAAATGACTTTTCTCATTTATTTTCTGCTTTTGCTTTGAAGGACATCTTGAGGTGCTTTTTATTTGTGTGTTGATATGTACAGTATGCATGCAGAAAGACCACCTACAGAAGTGGAAAAGGTGTAAAAATAAAGCATATGGGTGTAAAGCAGTTATTTTCTAACCCTACGTGCAGTGAAAATATGAGATATCTTTCTTGAGATAGATAGAAAGTTTCTTCTGCCATTTATGCATCGACTTTCTATTTTGCAGAGAGCATCAGACGAGTTATCGACAAGACATCAATCAAGTTGGTGAGCGCTATCAAAGTAGAGAACAAGAGTGGCAAATCAGAAGATCGGATTCTGGTAAGGCACTACATTTAACTTCACTACTTCATATGTCCTCAAAGGAACTGTTGACGCAAATTAAAATTGTGTCATCATTTACCAACAAGTCGTTCCAAATTTTCCAAAACTTTCATTCTTCAGTGGAAGACAAGTGGTCCCATACGCAAATGTAATATATTTAATTGTTTATGAATGTGTAATATATTTTTGGTGAAATATATTTTTCATGTTGAATATATATAAATAATATATGGTTGCTACATATAATACCATATAAAAATCATCATATAAATATTATTAATGTGTACATATACACATTTTATGTACACATTTTTATATTCACCTTTATATTCACCAGGTATATGGCAAAATCATCTTTTGATACAGGGCTATATATATGTATGTGTGTCGTATATTACATTTCCGTATGGAGTGTAATTCTTTATTTTCCATATAATTACAATGAAAGAGAACTGAAGCTTTCAGGCCTCAATAAAGACTGCAAAAGCATCATAAAAGAATCACAGAGATGTTTCTCTTTTCTTCTGAAGTCATGAACAGAGTGAAATGCAAGGCAATTTAAGAAATTTAAAAAGTCCTTCACTGGTGATCTTCACTTCTAGTTAGCTGTGACTGGATCTTTGAATCAGTGTGTTGAACTCAAGAACTGAATTAGTTTGATTCGTGAATGACTCATTCAGACCATTCAGCTCTTAACTGTGAATATAAGCAACCTGGTGCTTACTAAAGTCGGTAAGCTTCAGCCCCTGTTCTGAAACAGTGTTCCACAAAAAAAGAAAGTCATACAGGTTTGGAACAACATGAGGGTGAGTTTTGAAATTATGTCCCAATTTTCATTTTTTTGAGTGAAGTAGTCTTTTAAAAACCCATCAGCATTGGGTAAACATGTGCATCCACTCTGTGCCTTTATTTTGTGCTTCTGTTATGCAGCAGTAACAAAAACAATGAGCCTAAGACTTTAACCTTTCCTCCTCTGTAATGGGGTGTGCAGTGTTTACTGCCTGCTGGTTGGGTTGTTTTTGCCAAGTCCATTTGGAGAATGGGCAGTGGAATCAATGATAAAAGCAATGTACGCGCAATGGTGCGCACACACAAACAGAAATCGTTGGAGACCAGACCCCTGCCGAGCTGTGAGCATTACTGTGGCCACTGAGTCTCGGTGGGTCAGAGGGACCGACCGACTCTGGAAGGAGTGTGTGCGAGATGAAGGATGGTGAGAGTAGAGGTGGCATACGAATGCCAGTGTGTGTGTGTGTGTGTGTGTGTGTGTGTGTGATTGTCACTTCAAGACCATTGAAAGCAGCTGGAGACTTGAAATGCCAGGGTTTGGAGCCACAAAAGCTAAATTAATCATCCAGATTGGTTTCAAACACACACACACACATACAGAGTGAAGGAGGTGACTGAGGTGAGGAATTTCAAACACACACACACACACACACACACACAGACAGACAGACAGACAGAGTGAAGGAGGTGACTGAGGTGAGGAATCAAACTCATTTCCTGCTAAGTGTCAATGGACTGATGTTGACACAAACCCTGAGAGATCTTTTCAAATTTTGGTGTAGAAAGAATTTTGAGTGAGAAATTGCTTGTGCATTTTACAAATGATTACAAAAATCGTAAACTAACACATTGAATTAAACGTGGAATTTTAAAATAGAAAGACTGAAATAGTATTTTCTTGTAGAATGTATTACAATTATCTTTTATTTTATTTTACTAAATACCCCCTGTGGTGAAAATCTATTTTAACGTTGTGTAAATGTCTATCTGGTGGTTTTAATATGCTTCAAGATATACCATGTGCAAATTCGTTAAGACCACTGCTGAGCATTGTCTACTTAAAACTTCAATGTACCAAAGACAGTGTCAAAAATGCGGCTTGAAACCAACCCTGTTTCCTACCATCACAAACATGCCATCTAATGATATCAATTACTGTTACGTGCCCAACGTTGTAGAGAACGATACATAAATGCATTACTGTTCTGATACACAGACTTGTAGACATCTTCTTCAGAATCGGTTTCTGAAATAGAGAGCGCCACATGCAATTGTGTAGTGTTTGCTGCTTCAGTTTATGCTAAATTCACACTACAGGATTTTAAGCCCGATTTGCAAATTAACGAGCTCGCCGACAGGTCGGGCTGGGATCGGGGGAAAATCAGT